ATGTGGGTGGACCTCAGATCCTCCCAGCAACATCTGTCTCTCTAAAACACAGAGACATACACAGAAATCATCCTTTTGGTAAACTGAGATGTCTGGAGAAAAAGTTCTGCTCTGGAACATCATTAGGAATGGAATTCAGCCTGAGGAGAGAAAAAAAAAGTGAAACAAACATGTCCTTACTGAAATATTTTTCCTTTGTCAATTTGGATACTAATTTGCACACACACACAGTTCGCCGTGCAATTGTAATATCCCACCTGGCTATCTCTCTTCTGGAATTTTATACTCGTGATTTCTAGAAAATTGATGGCCTGAAATGAAATACTTCCTTATCAGTGGGATTTTAAAAACAGATATTTCAGAGGTCAGGACCATCCTGTTTGGCTCAGGAATACATTTTGTGACAATCAGTTTATCCGTTATCATTAAAATGTGGGGGTCAGGGGTTTACAGTGGAAGGAATGACAAGGAAGGAAAAAATTTAATATGAATATTTTACCAGTAAAATCTATTCCATAAATCAAAATTGCAATGATTTCTCTTACAGCAAGTCTCCTGTAGCTGTTCACATCCCAAGTGGTCAGCTTTTACACTTGAAAAACCAAGTTCACACAGTTTGAGAGATTTGTTATTCTGCTAGTGACACATGACGTCAGCACAGTCAAGAGCACTTCGGGTTTTCCCCACTCCTGCACCTACCCTTCCCAGAATGTGGGTGCTGTAGACTCACAACCACCAGGGGGCTTTATAAATTTATGGGTATCACCACGACATGCAGATACCTACGCTGGACGCTATGAATTTGTATCTGGTGCGAAAGCTGGAACAAGGGAGTACATGTTAGTAAGAGATTTCTATGGCTTTAACTTTCCGGGCAAAAAAAAAATGTGAAAAATACACATCCTCATTTCTGAAACTGAAAAAACTACTCTATTTTAGAACATAATCAATGCATATGAAAAGCATAGGCATGGAACTACGACGCCAAATTATTTTCTTTATTTTCAGAAAGGAAGGAGAATAAGAAATAAGGGAGATGCTTAAACACCCGTTTGGCCAGCAAGCAGGAATCAGCTTTTTCTGTGTTTGGATTTTGTACGTGGGGAATTTAGGACCTTAGAGCCTTCATATTGCCTCGTTAAAAGTCCCCTACTTCAAATTCACCCTTACGTGTTACTGCTCTCCTCGGAAGGAGGAAAAGAAAATTTCCACTGACCCAGCTCGTGATTTACATACAGAGAGCAAATAAATGAATGGAGTGGGGGATGGGGCAGTGAGAAGCAATGTGTTTCCTTTTCAACCGCAGAAAATAAGATTACTTACCAAGAACATTTTTATCCAGGGCAAATGTTTATTCCTTCTATCACTCGGCGCCTCAGTCTCTGCAAGGAATCAATTTCCACTCTACCTTTCCCTCCTATTTCTAAAAAAAAAAAAAGAAAAAGAGAGAGAGAGAGAGAGCGCAGATAATGTTCAAGCTTCAGGGTCCAGAGGAAGCTAGAGCAGAGGGCAAAAGACTCCCGCGGCGCTCTTTTCCCAGATCCTAGCGCCGAGAGCGAACCCCTGGGGAGGAAGGGAGCCCCTCTAAGGAGGGTGCCGGGGCTGGCGGCGGGGGGTTCATTTCACAGCCGAAATGTGAATCATCTGCAGAGAGAATAGGCAACCCCTCAGTCACACAAGCAAGTCCCTAGGGGAAGTAGGGTTCAAAGAGAAAAGGGAAGTTCCTGAATTGAATGAGAGAGAGAAAGAGAGAGAGAGAGAGAGAGAGAGAGAGAGGAGAGACTGGGATTTGGGCTTGGAGAAGGGATGGGGTCGTAGAGGAAGGAGGAGAAGGAATCAAACGAATCTTACCGATCGAGCAGGCGATCGTTTGTGCGGCATCGGGCTATGAAAATGGGAAGATAGCATTCGGCAGCCAAGCCGTTTCTGGCCCACTCTCCCTCGGTACCTGTGCAGGACGGAGGGGAAGAGGGAGCCGCACAGCCTGCCACCTGCTCCCCCGGGGCGGTCCTCAGAACCTCCAAAGCTCTAGCTTCTAGAGCGAGGCATTTGGAGCTGAGGTTTCGGACGAAAGTCAGTTGCCTTGAGTCACGGGCAGCAGGATTCGCCGAGGAAGCAGGACCTGGAAGGACTCCTGCCGCCGCCGCCGCCGCCGCCCACGGTCCCCCGGCCCCGTGCTAAGCCTCCCAGCGCAGCGCCCCCGTAAGCGCCTGGCGCCCCGCCGCCTCCGCATCTTCAGCCCCCAGTGCAAATCGCGGATGATTTGGTCATCCTAAAGTGACCATAGTGGCTTATTTGGGGGGGTTGGTTGTGTTGGGCTTCCTTACTACGCCTCCCTCGGTGGCTGCGAGTGAGAGGGTTCAAGGGAAATCCTAGTGAAATGCACTGATGGAATACTATTAATCCTAGCAATAATGTTCCCAACGCAGGTTGACACTCAAAGAACTGAGAGTGGGAAGATCAGAGCAGGATTTCCGAAGCGGTGCCCTCTTGAATTCTCATTGGATCCTTCCCAGCAGCCTAAATCACTCTCGCTGCTCTATCTATCAGGATGACTACAGCCTTGCTCACTAGTTCTCTCTTTATCTCGCTGTCTTCAACACATCCTTTTACTTCTCTTTGCAGATTTATCTGTACTCCACCTCCTGGTCTCTGGGGTTACCCAGCTTCTATTTTTCCCTGCTGTATGGGGCTGTGCCGTCCGTAAATTTTCACTTTGTCTGCCTAAGGATCGCCACAAATAAGCACCCCCTCACCCCGCCCCTCCCCAAATGAAAAGCACCTCTTTTAATTTTGCTTCCCTTCTTTGGGGGTTCGTGGTTCTCCATGTAACCGGTTTTCCTTGGTTACATGCCACCAGGAACTGCTGATTATTTCAAAGTTCCACCACCCTGCAGCTCATCACTGTACCTTGATTTGGAAGATCATGGACTATCTGTTTGAATCCTGGATGTATTTTTCTCACAGTCACCTCGCTTCCTGAAATTTCCTCTGGTGAGTTATTCTCTTTATATGTTTTAGAAACTTATTGCTAGTGTTATTTCTAATAAGCCTTGTTTGTTTAAAAATGTGTCATTTCTTACATTTTTTGTCACTTTCAGAACTCATAGCTCTATGCAGCCGTGTTTATTAATCAATGTTATTTGCAATTGTGCTCCTAAGACATAGCCCATGTAATGAATTACCCCATCACCTTTTACGTCCTTTATTTATTTCTGCCCTCATTTGTATTTCAGGGTATAGGAGATATTAACCCCCCCTTCCAATAATGCTTCTTGGCACACATTCTTGTGCCATTTGAAAGGTCAAATTTTATATGTTTATCTAAGAGTGAGCTTAAAAGAGCCCTTCTGACAATTGCAGGGTCTGAGAAAGTTCACTTGTCTCTGATCTTCAGAAGGTTGTTCAGGTCAGTATTTGTTTATTGCAAGCAATTACATGGCTGAGGGAGGACTTTTGTAAAGTGTATTTTTATGGGTTTAGCAGGATACTAGGCACTAAGCCACCGTATGGTAAGAGGAGGTGTGTGAGTTTTGAGTGCACCATTTTTTAATTTATTTTTTATTTTTACAATATCCCAAATCACACATGGACACATTATTTTGGGTGTTGTACTTAAATTCAGGCATCACATTTGGGAGTATGTTTTGGATTTTGTGAATTGAGCTGGTGAACAGTTAATTGGACATGGAGTACCCATTTCAGAGGAAGAGAGCTATCAGAAGAAAGCACTCATTATCTTGGTACTAATAATTGAAATTCAGGGACAGACTATATGAAAAATTTAATTGCCTCACTCTTCACACTTGTTCAACCCCCACACTCAATTTTAATAAGTATGTTAATACGTCAGTGTTTTTGGCTTTTATGAATATTTTTCTGGGCTTAACTGACAGTTATGATTATCACTCCCCCTTTAAGGATAGGTATGTTGAGAAACATTTAAATCGTAGCTTTTACTTCACACATTGACAAGGACACAGTATTTAGTAAATGCCAACCCAAATGTATCCGTAATCTCTAAGTACTGAGGTCTGGAGTTTTTCTCTATGAACCTTCCCCCACCCCTCCCCATAAGAACAAGTTGCTGGTTTCTGTATTTCTGGTTATTGGGATGGATGGAAGTGAAAAACCTATATTGTTCAAGCTTTTCTTTCTTTCCTTTTTTTTTTTTTAATTCGCGTAAAGAACTATTTCTGTCGTCATCGGTGGCTGACTCGTCCACCTAAGTCATGCTTTTTTAAATTCAAAAGCCCTTTTCGCTTCCAGAAAGAAAAGTACTCCAGCTGCAACGTCACCCCATCCCCCAGTGTCGGGCTTCAAGGGTTTTCCCCCGGGCTCCCCGCGGGAGAGCAGGGCTGCCCGCGGTCCGCGCCCCTCGGTGCCCCTCACCCGTCACTAGTTTCCACCTGGTCTCCTTCCCAGTCTGGTCGTCCTGCCTGGCAAGTGCCATCAGCCCCCGAGACTTCAGCTGAAGAAACGAGGGCTCAGCATAATTCCCCAATTCAAACATCCCCTCTGGACGACTGCTGCCGTTGCGCAGGAGTGGAGGGGGGGAAGTGGGGGGTGGGAAAAACCCCAACTTTCGGTGCAGCCAGATCTTTCCTTCTCAACCTAGTCTACTCCGGGAAGGCACAGACGAACGGTATGTAGGTGAGTGCGTTTTTCTCTGTTACAACCTGAAACTCAAGTTTGTGGAGGGGAGATGTGCTCCTGGGAGGCGTTAAGCAGACGGCTATCAACAGGCGACCCTGCCTGGAGGTTTCTCCGCAGCTCGTGGCAACGCCTAAGCTACCTGGGGTGCAGGGAGCGCGGAGGACAAGGTCTCCGGTTGACCGGTATGGCCCTGGGCTTGGCGCCGGGAGTGGGAATGACCCGCCCCGGGAGGGACCGTGCCCCCTGCCCGCGCCCCGCGGCGCAGGCTCCGCACGCGGCCCCTGCAGCGAACGTGCGCCCGTGCGCCCGGGGTGGGCATTTGCAGCCCCGGAGCGTGGGGCGCGCCAGGGGGCTTCACCCTTGCTTGACGCTCTATGTCCAGCCTTCCCCCGCCGAACTTGAGCAAAACCCCTTTTCTGTGCGAGAGGCCAGATTTGGAAGCTCTGCAATCCCTGATGAACACCCGTCTGCATTTGCATTTATTTATTACTATTTTTTAAATGAGCTGTACCTACGACTCAGAAATGACGGCTCTCCGGCATGCCTGCTTTATAAAAATCTAATCGCGGTATTCATGCGTCTCAGTTGGGTTGCGAATAGCTAACTGACTTCTCAGGCTCCGTGTTAAAGTACTGCTGACCGTCACACCCTCTCTTCCTTCCCCAGCTGGCAGGCATCAGGAGGGTGGTGGGTGGGGGAAAGAAAGAGTTGGATATCAACTTGGAGCCAGAGGTTGGACTGCAAGGTGGCTAGGAGCCGTGCAGCTTCTATTCTACCCCCTTGCAAGTTAGGCTTTTATTTCTCCGTCGCCCTTTTCCAGAGGTGGGTGGGTGGGTGGGAGGTAGGAGGGTCTAGAGCTGGGAGCGCTCTCCTCCCGCGTCCACCCGAGAGGGGGTGGTGCTTCTTGGCCGCCGGTTACCGCTGGTTCTGCAGCCAAGCAGTGGCAGAGAGTTTAAGTCTCTGATGGCTGTTCTCCTAGTCCCCAAGAGTTGAACCGGAGAACGTTCTACTTTGCACCAGGTCAGGAACGTGATCAGCCGTTTAGAGCAGGGACCTCCTTCTAATGGGCATCCGGCTAGGAAACGCTGGGGAGCTTCAGCCTCCGAAGAGAAGAAGCATGTTTCCAGCTGTGTGAGATGCTAACCCGGGGCTCGAAAAGAGAAAGAGGGGACAGGGGTTGCAAAATAACCCTACTGTTGCTTTGAAATAGTCTAGCCAGTCAAATATATGTAAGCAAAGAAGAAAGCACCGGGGTATAAAACTGTCACAGCGGCTTGGAAGACAGATGATTCCGATTTGGGGGACTGTTTCTTTTGCGTGCTGTTAAGATTTGGCATCATGCAGTTAAACAGGTAAGGACTGAATGTCTCTATTTTATTGATAATAGTATAACCTGTGTTTGACCTCTCCTATGATAACTTATCCCTGTTTCACGGACTGGAATATGTGTATTTTCAAATGGGTCTGCTATGATGCATAATAACTTCTTAATATTCGTATTCATGAACTATTTAAATCCATTAACATGCATTTATTTAAATGTTCAAGGTACATTTATTTAACTGTTTAACGGTGTTAGAAAAATCATAAACTGGGCCAAGGTGAGAGGCAGAAATAGGGGAAGGTAGAAGTCAGAGGTAAGGATGGGCAACCCTGATGAAGTGTGTAACATAGTTGTTGCAGAAATGCCTTAAAACATTGCTTATTCTTAAGGTCACAGACCTGCCTATATTAAGGACAATTGGAGAACTCGTTCAGAGCATCTTCAGTTAGCAATTTAATTCTGACTTCTTGAGAGGAATGTTTTGTGGGAATTTTCATGTTATTTTCTCAATTTCCAAAAAAAAAAAAAAAAAGAAAAAGAAAAAGAAAAGAAAAAAATCCATGGGGTGGAGGTGGCTTGGGTTGTCAGATAGGATGAGAAAAGACCTTGCCTTAAGGTAATGTTATGTATGACCCCAGCAGAGAAATCTTTGGGCTTAGGAAACTAGTTGGAAACGGAAAAATAAAATCTAAACAAATTCTTAAAATTATGGAAAAGCTCCCATAAGTAAAGCTTTTAAAAATTCCAAGTTTTGTAGATGTATACTGTTGCCAGCCAACAGATTTCTTCCACTATCAGATTTAACATTCAACCACCTCAGAAGCAATTAAAATAACAAAACAATTTTATTATTTTAAATTGTTTTGTTATTCAAATTGTTTGTTATTATTATTGATATTGTTAGGTTTTGCTTACAAGTTGGAGGAGTCTGGAGTCCCCACAGTGAAGCAAAAAATATTAGTAAGATATGGTCTTAAAACAGTTCCATTTATTTCTAACAGTTTCTCTTCTCTAAGAAATTGTATTCTTTAAAACAAGAAATATTTTTAGTACTTACATTTATTGATGTGGATCCCTGATCAATCATTCTTCTGCTTGTAAGGCTCACTTGTAACATCTTGAAGGAAGAGGAAAGATAACTGCAACTTTGGGTCATAAAATTGCAAAGTTACAGTGCTTTCCTTAGTTTGATGCAAGAGGTAGTTTTTACTCCACTGGAGAATAATTCGCCAATGAATCCAGTTCCTCAATTCTTTTGCATTTTGCTCTCTGGAG